CCAACTCAAGACAGAACCCAAGCGAGGACTCAGTGCTGCTGAAGCTGGTTGGGTTGTAAGGAGGTACCAGAAGGAAGCAGGCTTTGATTCCCTACTGCTCAGTAGATGCGAGGTGTTTTGGGACTGGAGAGGAGAGCTTTAAAAACGATATGTTGTTTTTGCCACTGCTCTGGTTTTATTTATGACCGCAGAGCCCCGAATTCAGAGCCAGCCGGGGTGGGGTGCGGTGCCTGCGACGGGGCAGGTGCCAGGCTCCCGTGATCCCCCTGTCTCCCTCCCGCAGCGGGACACTGCGGTGTCCCCAGCCCCATCGTCAACGGGCAGATCAACGGGGAGAACTACAACTACCGTGGCAGCGTGGTGTATCAGTGCCACCCCGGCTTCCGCCTCATCGGGATGTCGGTGCGCATCTGCCAGCAGGATCACCGCTGGTCCGGGAAGACGCCTGTCTGTGTGCGTAAGTATGTTGTCAGATTGCTTTAGCCCCGGTGGCGGTCAGAGGACAAGAGCACGTGTAAAGCCAGAGTTTACACCCCCAGGCTGCTGTCCTTCACATGCTGAATTTCGGGTGGGTGAGCCCGGCTGCAGGGGTGTCTTCCGAGGAGCCCACCCTTCGTCGGGCTGCGGTGAGGCCGAAGGCAGACGTAGCCCCGCAAAGCACACACGATGGTCACCACCTTTGAGACCCACGTCAGTCTCTCTCCTCCTCTGATCCACGTTCACAAGTCACCTTGTACAACCTGCTTATTTATCTTTCCAGTAAATAAGCTAATTAAGTCTCTAGAACTCTAAAGTGTTAATAAGCGTAAGCATCTTCTTATCAATGGACAGTGCAATCTGTGTGTTTCATATCATGATTCGCCAGTTGTTTGCTTCCAGTCTCCCCTGTCTGGTTTAGAGCTTTATGTGCTGAGGCACAATAATAACAGCAAGATATGAGGTAAGGAATGACTTATACATCAATGAATATGCAGATTCCAGCCTAAAATTAAGAAACAGACTTAAGGTGTCAAGGTTAGCAGTGACTCCAGAATTTGGAGGATGCCTACAATTCTGCATGAGCCTTTTAGGAAAAGAATTATTGGAGAGGCTGTCTCTGGGTCTGTACGTAGGTTTTGAATTACTCTCATGTCTGAGGATGCTCTGTTGAAAAAGTTTTAATTCACTTTTACCTGTCAAGTTTATACATACTGACCTTGGACCAGGAAGTCATATTGATAGAGGTCCTCCTGCTGTCAGGCAGATTTATGGAAATGCAGGATTTTCTAAACATCCATTTTCTTGGATCATCATTTTTTCAGGAGGGACCAAACCCATTAGAACAAAGCAGATGAACGTTGCTTGTCTGTATCTGTCTTCTGTCTGCTGAACAGTCCTCTTTCTTTGGCTCTGTTTTGTGCCAGCTTCTGCCTCTGGCACCTGAAAGCCCACCAAGCTTTTGTGCAGAGATCTGTAAAGGTGTCTCATGTGCAGAAGTTGGCCTTGAAATTATCACACTACATTAGACCTTATGGATAACATAAATTTAATGTCGTTAAAGCAGAGCACTGTTGGGCTCTGAAATTAGATGCCTTGAGGCTTTATTGCTTCTGAAGAATCTCAGGGCACCACGTGTGTTAGCACATTATAATTTCCTATTGTCCTGATATTTTCTCTTTAAACCTGCTACAGTTGCTTCCTCTGTGCAAACGGCTGTTTTTGATCCCTGCCAACTGCAGGAAGCCTTTTTTTTCCTGGGACAGAATCCATCACCGGTTTCAAAACATGTATAATCATATTCAGAAGTACCTCAGAGAACCTGACATCTGCTTCCAGCAGCACTGAAAGGCTATCTTGCTTCATATTTTTTAGACCTGTACCTGTCACCAGCTTGCATAAGGAATAAATTCCCATCCCTGTGGTACAGTCCAGCCCTGGCAGTCAAACACGTTATGGATCTTTTGTGGGAATTTCATCTTCCCCTCTAGCTTCTGGCTTTTGGCAGCTGTACAGCTAAATGCTGGACTTTTACTGATGGACCATTACCCTGTTTCAGCATGACAATAATCAATATTGCTTTGTCCTCAGCTGTCAGAAGATGTCGCATTCCTTAAGCAGCCAAAAATCTCTGTATGGGCATATCCTGACGTTTCTTCAGCGCAGTGGAACGCGCTGCTGTGCTGGGAGCAGAGAGTCTGTATCTTCCCTGCGTCGCCCGCCTCTGCCGAGATGCTGGCAGAGCAGCCTGGGCAGAGGCACTTGGAATTCCAGCGTTGGCTGTGCTTCCTGCTGCTCCAGCCTTTGCCTCTGCACCTTCCCCGGGCGTCATCGGAGCAGCTCAGACCAGGACCCTTTAGCCCTTTGCCTCATCACTGGCCCAACCTGATGTCAGCCACAGGAACAAGAACTGCACAAAAATCCTCGTTTCAGGGATTTAGAAGTAGAGGTTTTCTCCTAAAGTTTTTCAAACTTAAAGCAGGAAGATTTGAGCTTTCTAGGCTGTGTGCCAGCAACCTGATTTTTCTGATCTTTTTCCTCTCTCTTAACTATCCCTCCAGGTGTAACTTTATCCTGCAGCGAGCATACATCTGACTTACACCAGGGAGAGGGAGGAACACATCAGATTGCGTGACTCTGTGCGTGATGCCCAGGGTCATGTGAGGCAATAGATTAATAGTGGTAGCTGGGATTTTTGAAGAGGAGCTCCAGGGATTTATGGTGTAAGTCAGTGGGATGCTGGCACTCAGCTGCTCAGAGAGTGGTTTGGAGAATTTCTTATGCCAGTAAAATGAACAAAGGTACGATGCTCTCAACTGGATTCAGTATTTCAACAGAGTCGGCCACAAATCTTTGAAATCAGTGTGGGTTTCAGGATTGATGTGGCCTTTTTTTATAATCTCCTTCCTTAGGAACTTTTTCCCATGGATAATCCACTTCTCCCAGACCAAAAAAAAAAGTCACATCTCCAATTTCTACTTGCAGCTATCACTTGCGGCCACCCCGGCAACCCTGCCAACGGCTTGACCCAGGGGAGTCAGTTCAATCTGAACGACGTGGCCAAGTTTGTGTGCAGCACCGGGTACCGCCTGGAAGGAGCGTCGCAGTCGCAGTGCTTGGCCAACGGCCAGTGGAGCAGCACCCTGCCCGCCTGCCGCGGTGAGTCGTCTGCCTCCACCCTGCTCTCGGCCAACGGGACTCATCTGTGCCTTCCTCTTCACTCTGGGTTCCTAAAATCCATCTTGACACTGTCATAAATTGATGTAAACCACGTCGTGCAGTTCCTCAGGAACGTACAAGCGATGTTTGAACACCAAGGGCTGTGTGAATCTCGTGTAACAAACCTGATTTTTCCCTTGGATGTCACTCAAAGCTGGTAATGGACCCTGCCCAGCCCTGCATCCTCCAAGACATTGAAGTACGGATTGTAAATGGGAAGGAAACAAAAATTTCAGGCCAAGAGCCTTAGCAGAGCTCATCCTGCTAACCTTAGACCAGTGTACTCAAAGCAAACACCACGGTCTTTGTGCAGAGCCCTTTCTCCTCCTAGGCTGCCCCACTTCCACTGGTATTACACTCAAATTCACTTACCAAATTCCCTCCCTGCACTCCCTTCCTTTGTACTCCCTCAATCCAGCATCTCTGTCGATACTGTTGCTGCGTTGATCAAGGAACCAGTTACTCTCAACTGGCTGATGTTATGCCCTGGTTTGGGGCCAGAGAGCAAGGCTCTACTGCTGAGCCTCGCGTGGCAGGGCGAGAGCCTGCAGCATTGCCTCTACTCTCTCTTTTTTCCTTCTAGTAAAGACTTTTTTCTGCTTCAAGAATCTTAAAAAAAAAAAAAAAAAAAAATCAAAAAATCCCACCACATTACATTATGAAATATGTGATTTGCAATTTTTCCCCCCCTTTTTCCTGCTCATTTTTGGAGAATTCTTTGTTACACCCTTTGTTTTGTATTTTTTTTGTTGTTGTTTGTTTGCAGTTGTAAACTGTACTGACCCCGGGCACCTGGAAAACAGCATCCGTCAAGTGCAGCCGAGTGGTCCTCACAGATTCAGCTTTGGAACAACTGTGTTGTATCAGTGCAGCCATGGATATTACTTATTGGGTACACATGTCCTTACCTGTCAGGGGGATGGCACTTGGGACCGTGCCCTCCCACAGTGTCTTTGTAAGTTCTTCAGAATAATACCCATCCACCGCAGGTTTTCATCCCATGTGCTTCTCTGTTGCTTAGCTGAATGGTCATGCACAAAGTCTGGATCCAGAGCTCTTTGTAATCCAGGGGACTCATTCCATCAACTTCACTGGCCTCTGGATCCTGCCCACCGAAGGAAAGTACATGGTCTGAGGAGAGAGAAACCCAGTTAGAGCTGGTTCCCCTCTGCAGGGGAAGGCAGCTCTTGCTGAGGTTTACTGGTTCCCTGCAGCTCCAGCAAAAGCCTTGCAGGTTGGAGAAGGGCAGCTGAGCCTCTGCAGCACGGATCTGCATGGGAAGGGGTGTGCAATTAGCCTGACTGAGGACTGAGCATCTTTAGCACCACTCAGACGTGGCTGAGTTTCTGTACACCCACTCATCCCCCGCGGCTTTGGGGAGGGAAGTGATGGTGCGATGGGGAAATAAATGCAGCCTTTATTCTGCTGCGACACAGGTGCTGAAGAGGGTTTGCTTCCTGACCCTTGCTCTGCATTTTCCACCCTTTCTTGCAGTATCCTGGCCCTTTGCCATCATAGTTTGCAGAGAGAATTGGAGGTTCTGTGTATGGTTTGGCTTAAGCAGTATGTCCAGTAGCATAGAAAGACACGAAATGCCGATGGTGGTCTCATGCTGTAGCAGCAATACCCAGTCCAGGAGATCTCCAGGAGTTTATGAAAGATGTCAGTGGCGTGTCCCTGCCTTACACCGGGGGAAATCGAGGTCCAAAGTGTGTTTGGAGTTGACGTAGGGCTGGTGGCAGAGGCAGGAGCAGACCCCTGGCACACCAACGAGAGCAGCTGCCATGGCGTTACGTGGCACAACGCATCGCTGAAGCAGTTGGACATGGAGCTCCTAAAGTTTGCAGTCGGCTTAGCTGTTCCAAAGCCATGATTTTCTTTTTTTTTCTTATGCTATCCTTTGACACCCAGTCATGCACAGTAGTTTTTGGCATGTTTTCCTTTCCTTTTGTTAGCAGCATGCCACCTTCTCGCGTTTGCAGCACCTTGCACAGGCCCCAGGGAATTGGCAAGTGATAACCGTGTGTCACCGCAGCCGCGGGGCTCCAGGAGAGTAGTCACCTTTTAAAAGCTCAGTCCACAGCTTTCCACCTAAGTAAGAGGGATCTCCTTCCTTAAAATGTTGAGCATCCATTGACTTGGAGGATTTGTGGGCATTCTCAGAACTGCAGAAACTCAGGACAGTTTTATAACTGATGATGTGGATTCCTGGGCTTAATAGTTTAAAAAAAAAAAATTTTTGCATGTCTTTGTTTTCTGCGTGTTGAACTTAAGATGTGCTCAGTGCTGAGGCCCGTAACCCTTTTAAAATGTTTATAGCTGGGCACCTAAAATCACCAGGCACTTCCCAAAACGTAAAATTAAGGAGGTTGATGCCAGACAAGCTTGGATTGTGAATGCTGTCTCATGCCTGTTTAGAATCATAGACTGGTTTGGGTTGGAAGGGACCTCAAAGATCATCCAGTTCCAACCCCCCTGCCATGGGCAGGGACACCCTCCACTACACCAGGTTGCCCAAAGCCTCATCCAGCCTGGCCTTGAACACTGCCAGGGATGGGGCAGCCACAACTTCTCTGGGCAACCTGGTCCAGTGCCTCACCACCCTCAATGTAAAGAATTTCTTTCTTATATCTAACCTAAATCTCCCCTCTTTCAGTTTAAATCTGTTGCCCCTTGTCCTATCACTACACACCCTTGTAAAAAGTCCCTCTCCAGCTTTCCTGTAGGCCCCTTTAGGTACTGGAAAGCTGCTATAAGATCACCCTGGAGCCTCCTCTTCTCCAGGCTGAACAGGCTCCCCCTGTTTCTGGGGAGGGAGTAACCCAGAGTTGATGTCCTTCAACGGGTGGGTGAGCGAGTCCAGTAAGTAAAGTACACGGGAGCAGAGCCCAGCGCGTGCGAAGAAACAGTCTCCACGCGGTGTACGTAAATCCTGTAAAAACCTCAATACCACCCCAGGTTTTAAGCTTAGCTGAGTCTGCTGGAGCATCTGTTATTAAATTGTTAGTTACAGTGTGAGTTTAAGCATGAGCTCTCGGACCCGGTTCCTTGCCGAGCGTCCTTGGTTTTAGTCACAGCTCTGCACCAGCGTATTTCAACGCCCACGTGCTCAGCCACACGCGTGCTCTGCTTTTTATTGGAACATACATCATGTTTGCTACCTAATGCCGGTGTTGGTATTTTTAGACTCTAGCAGAGGGAGAGGAGAGATCCGTTACGGATGCTTTCCTTCAAAACCGAGTGGTGCATGGTCCTGAGGCTGAGCATCCTCATCCAGACCTGTCTAACAGCGCCGAGATGTGTCAGGGTATCTGTCAGCTGCCTCTGCTCTGATTGCTAAGCTAAAGTAAACCTATTAATTATTGTTAGTGGTGGTTTTTTACCAGCAGTGGTCGAGCGAGCAGCGCTCTGAATCTGCTGAGTGTGACACAGCATCAATTGCAGCTGCATCCCAGGACCGGGTGCTGCCAGGATGGATCCGGGGGTGAGGGCGCGCGTGGAAACGTTCGTGTTTGAGAAGGGCTGAGTTTTCCACGGAACCTGTAAAAGGCCTGTGGGTGTCAGCACTAGGTGTTTGTGCACAAACCCTTGGCAGCTTTTGCAGGATGAGTTGTGTGCCCCAGAAGGAGCCCGGTGCAGTGTCTGCTGTGCCCCACCTGCACCGTGGCACGAGCCCCCGGCGGGCACGGGGGGCTCTGGGGTGGACGAGGGGGTTTAAGCTGCGGGGGTCCCACGCAGCAGCTGAAGCTGTTGTGTTTCTGTTGCAGTGGTGTCCTGCGGCCACCCCGGCTCCCCACCCCACGCCCAGATCTCGGGCGACAAACACACCGTCGGCTCCGTGGTGCGGTACAGCTGCCTCGGGAAGCGGACCCTGGTCGGCAACTCCACTCGCATGTGCCAGCTGGACGGGCGCTGGAGCGGCTCCCCGCCTGAGGGGGCTTTGGGCAGGAGGGTGTGGGGCAGTCCCGTCCTCTGCTTCCCCTTTTTATCCCACGATGGAACAGCCTGATGTGCTTTGAGCTGGGGAAATACCCGTGCTACAGGGGGAGATTGTGGAAGGCTGAAAATCACTGCGTCTCAGCCATCCAGTCTCCTGCAACTTGGGTGATAAGCACTGGCAGAGAGTAAAGCTCTCGGCTTGCAAGAGGAGGAATAAATCACTGCAGCAAAGGTTTGTGGTGGGAGGAGTGCCGCAGCCCGCTGCTTTAGCTTTCTCCATGCAGAATCTGTACAGGATGAACGTGTCTTATGCAAAATCGGGTCCTTGCATCCTATCTGCAGCATCTGCCCCTCTTTCTCGTGCGTTCCAATAAAAGAAGCCCATGTGGCCCCTTTGCAGGGCCTGACATCTGCTGTTACGGCACCACAGCAGTCCCAGGTCTGCACGAGGCAAGCGGAAGCTGGTACTATGAGTTTCCACATCGTCAGTGTCTCCGCTGAGAGCAGTTTGGCAATGGAAATCCATCCCCACTCCCGTGCCAGAGTGAGAAAGGTCTTGCACTGAAAACATCCTGACAAGCAAAACAGTCCCTGATGAGACAGACTAGAGTCAAAGTCATGGGGGATGCGATGAGACGTGCTTGCCAAGCTTTCCTGTGAGATTGAGGTGCTGGGATCTCAGCTGGTGGCCTCCGGTGGAAGGAGGGGTGCTGCACGACTGCAGGGTGCTGTACGAAGCCTTCCCCACGCCGTCCCGTCACTGATTCCCTGGAGAGCACAGAGGCAGATGAAATAAGAGCTTAGCTGGAGCAAAGCATTTGGGACAAGTGTTAATTTTTAATTCTGCCACTTAGGTTTAGCAGCTCCACTTGACCAAGTTTAACCTCTGCTGTGGAAGGCAGAGAGAAATCGGGCAGAGCATCCTCGGTCAGAAGCCGTACCTGCGGAGTTCTCGATCTGTCGCTGCTCGGCAGGGTTTTCTGCTCTAATTCGTGCCTTTTCCCCATGTGTTTTCCACTGTCTCTTCTGTCACCTTTGAGGGTGGGTTTTTGGAAGCGTTCAGCGTTACTCTGACTGGTTCCTTCCGACATCTGGTGCGTGTGGTTTTTCTGAACGACTCCGTGGAGGCAGCTTTACACCAAGGCTGAAGGTGTTTGACAGACTCTCTCCGCTTTGGGGCCAGGGGAATGCCCAGTGCCTCAGAACCCTGATTTCCACCCAAGAACTCGGGGAAAGGCTCCTCTTTCACACCAAACTGGTGATACAGTTACAGAAGTACCGAAGAGTGAAGCCTTTAATCACATTCCTCTGCTTTAACAGTAGTAAAAGCACAAAAATCTCACCCAGTGCCTCCCCAGAACCTGGAGCAGGACCCACAGAGGTCCATGTCTTCTCTGGCTCTTGCCCAGGGGAGGTTCTTCAAGG